TGTGTGTGTGTGTGTGTGTGTGTGTGTGTGTGTCAGGGCTGTGTCCTGTCATCATACTTATTCAATTTGCATGCTGTGCAAATAATCCAAGAAACTAAACTATATGAAGAACAACGTGACATCAGAATTGGAAGAAGTTTCATGAACAACCTGTGATGTGCAGATGGCACACCCTTGCTTGCTGCATGGCGGCAGGGTTTGAAGTACTTGCTAACGAAGATCATTGATTGCAGCCTCCAGTATGGATTACAACTCAAAACAAAGAAAACCCAAATCTTTACAACTGGACCAGTAGACAACATCATGATAAATTGAGCAAAGATGGGAGTCCAAGATTTCATTTTACTTGGACACATAATCAATGCAAGGTAAACAGAGTCAAGAAATCAAAGGACAAAGGATGGGGATGTGGAGGTGACTGTTCGATGCCCCTTGAGATGATTGTATGATTGAATGGTTGAATTGTATGATATGCAAATTATGTGTCAATAAAACTGTTGGGGAAAAAGAAATCAAAGGACATATTACATTACACTCATCTGCTGCAGAAGACTGTTTAAAAGTGTTAAAGAGGAAAGGTGTCACTTTAAAAATGAAGATGTGCCTGACCTGAACCCCGATATTATTTCCTAACTATGTGAAAGGTGATCAATGAATGGAAGACCAGCACGGAATTGATGCATCTGAATGGTGGTAGTGGCAAACAATACAGAAAGTGTCATGGACGGCCAGAAAATAGACAGATACGTGCTGGAAGTACAGCCAGGATGCTCCTCAGAAGGGAGGAGAATTAGGCTTCCTCTTCCATTCCGTGTGCACATTATCAGAAAGGACCAGCCTCTGGACATGAGCATCGTGTTTGGTAAAACAGAGGGTGAGTGAAAAAGAGGACATCCTTCAGGAAGACAGATTGACCTATGTCTGCAACAGTGGACCAACCAGGCCACTGTGAAGCTAGTTAGCGTTTCATTCTGCACATAAGCTCGCTTTGCGTAGGCACCTAACACCACCACCAGTGTATTTGAGGTTCATTTGTGTGGTTGGGTATATCAGTAATTTCTCTTTTGCTCAACTAAAGATATGGTAGACTCAAAAAAAGTTATATCCTGATTCCACCTATATTTTGGAAAATGAACTATCATAGACTTGAACCAAGTGTATACAAAATTATATTTTAAGGTGATCGGAAACAGAACAGTCACTGCCAGGGTTTGGGGACTGAGGAAGCAATTGACAGCAAAGGGCAAGTATGAGGGAATTTTGTAAAGTGACAAAACCATTTTGTATCCTAAATATGTTGATTATTGCGTGACTTTTTGTTAAAACTCATAAGAAAGGACGCTAAAAAGAATAAACTTTACTAAGCAAATTTTACATTAAATTCTAAAAAAAAAAAAAAAGATAGGTCTAGCTCTACGAACAACATTATTGTTTTTCTTACCAGCTGCTGCCCATTGGCCTCTACCAATTGTTGTTTCAGATGGTGCTGCGTTGGTCCCCACTCACTGTGACCCGATGTACAACAGAACGAAACACTGCCTCCTCCTGTATCGTCCTCACATCGTTGCTTTGTTTGACTCCATTGTTGCAGTTCAGTGTCAATCCAACCCCCGGAGAATCTTCCTCTATTTTGCTCCCTCTACCAAACATTGTGTCCGTTTCCAGGGACTGGTTCCACCTAATATCATGTCCAAATTACATGAGATGAAGTTTTGTCACCCTTGCATCCCAGGAGCATTCTGGCCATACTTTTTCCAATGCTGATTTATTTATTCTTCTGGTAGTCGGTGGTATATTCAATATTCTTCTCCAATCTCAAAGCTCCATCAATGGAGTCTGCAAGTCTCCTTCAGTCTTTCTTCCTCACAGTCCAGCTTTCCGTGGAACATGAGATGCTGGAACATAGCATGGCTCGGGTCAGGCACACCCCACCCTCAGAGTCATCTTTTTCTGTAGCATGTTAAGGGCTCTTTTGTAGGCCTGGTGGTGTAGGAGTTACACATGGCGCTGTTTCCCAGAAAGTCAACCGTTCGCAACCAGCAGACTGGCAGTCTCAGGGGCAGTTCCACCCTGTCCCACCAGGTCCCTTGGAGTCAGAATCAACTCGATGGCAGTGAGTTGGGTTTCACGTGGGAGTTTGTTGTTGTTTTTGTAGCAGATTTGCCTAATGCTGTGTGTTAGTCTGGGGAGACCAGAGAAACAAGTTCATAGATCCTCATATATGTATAAGAAAGAGCTTTCTATACAAGAGCAATTGTATATTGAGAAAACATCCCAGCCCAGTCCAGATCAAGTCCATAAGTCCTGTATTAGCCCATACGTCTGATATGAAACTATAAATTCCTCTTTAGACTCACAAAACACGTGCAATGATTCCAAATGCAGGAAGATCACAAGCCAGTGGGTGGAAAGTCTTGTGGATTCAGTGGCAGTGGAAGCATCTCAGTGCTGGCAGGGGTCTCCAAGTGGCTACTTCAGCTCCAGGCCTCTAGCTGCCATCAGCATTGCTTCATGTGTTTTCTCAACAGGAATGTCTCACAGGGAGAGAGAGTGTGTGATTGTATGAGTGTGTGTGAGTGTGAGTGTGAGTGTGAGTAAGTGAGTGAGTGAGAGTGAGAGAGAAAGAGAGAGAGTCCTGCCTCCAGCGAGCTATTAATCTCCTTAGTGCCTCCAAATGAGGTCATCAAGCTGCGACCTGACAGGCTAACCTCCACTCCTTCAGTCATCTGTCTCAAATTGACTACAGATTATGTAACTACCACATGCTGTGTACCATTTGATTTCTTGACTGCTGCTTCCATGAGCATTGATTATGAATCCAAGTAAAATGTATTCCTCGACAATTCAATCTTTTCTCTATTTATTATGATGTTGCTTACTGGCCCAGATCGGTATCAAATGAAATGTAAAAGATTCCCTTTTCCTGGGTTGATTATTTTAGCAGCTTTTAAAATTCAAAATGCATAAAAAATTCATTGTGCCAGATAGTTTCTGCTACCTGTTACTAGTTAGTTTATTTTCATGTTCACTTATCTTATATGTAAATCCCCAAATGTATTATTTTTTATATGCATTTTCAATTAGCAGGGGAGACATTGGACTGGTTCTGGAAACCATGTTTGTCCGCAGTTGCTCCCCAGTAGGGCCTGCCCATTAGGGGTGCATAAAGGAAACAAGCAGGCAAGAAGAAGAGGCTTTCTTCTTCCCGCCTCATCAATGTCACCTACCACAATGTCTATTTGCTCTGGCAGGAAAGTCCATTTTGTTCTGATTCTCCATACTCCAACTCCCTTGCTGGGTTTCCTCAAAGAGACCAGCATCAGCTGAACCCTTCTCGGGATTTGAAATACTGCTTCAAATGGCTAGATTATAACCACCCATCTCTTTCCTTTGCTCCATAGCCTTGTAGGTAGATGCTTCCCACAGCTTCTATAGCTAGTCTACTTCTCACTCTCCAATGCCTTTTCAGAATTCTAAGAATGGTTTGGACAATTCTTTATATTAAATTCTAGTAAAAATACTCATGTGTTTTCTGTTTTGCCAACTAGAACTTGAATGCTTGAAAATCAAAATTTGCTGTCCCCTGCCAACGTCGACATGATCAGTTCCCCTCATTACCGCTATACCTCCTTGCCTTCTTCTCTTCCCTCCCCTACTTACAGCCAATTCATAACAGAAGATATAGGAACGTGGGAAAGCTCGCCACAGCATTTTCATTACCAGAATCCCCAGTGTAGGAAACGCTACTGGACAAAACCAAAAAAGGACCTGTGCAGTAAACACATTATGAGGGAATTGTTCGATGCATGAAATCCAAGATAGATAAACCCTTCAGAAATAGTAACGGGAGTTAAGATTCCCTGAGGGTCTGGAAAGGGGGTAGGGAATGTGAGAAGGGGGAGCTGATGGCAATGATGACTACATAACCCCACTGGAGGGGAATGAATAACAGATTGGTAGGTTAACGGATACATTGGATGATGTAAGACACAGCAAAAATTTTTTAATAATAATATAATATAATAACAAGGGTTCCTGGGGGGTAGGGTAGAAGAGGAAGGGGATAAAGGGGAGCTGATATCAAAGAGTTCAAGAAGAAAGAGGACGTTTTTAAAATGATGGTGGCAGCAATTGTACAATCATGCTTGATCTAATTGAACCATAGATTGTTATAATGCCTGTAAGAGATCCCAGTAAATTGTAAACAATAAAATCTAGCTAACAATGAAAAAATTCAAATAAAATAAATAAATTACAAGGGATACAAACCTCTAAATCAGAAAAGCCATTAAAAGATATCAACTAATAGGCATGGGAGGACCTAATTCAAAGTCCACTTTTACATGTGCATATTAGAACAATTGGGGGATTTGAATAGTGACTGGATGCATAACTAAGAAATAGTCGATGGATTTTAAGTAGTTTCCTTATGCATGGTGAAATATTTATAGATGTACTGCTGTATGGGGAGGGAGGACCAATGGGGCAGAAGTGTAACAGCATTGACCATGAATTGATCATTATAGTAGCTAGGGACATAGGGGTTCATTTTATTACATAAATATATAATGGTTCTGTAAATGTTTTAAATCTTCCATCTGTCTCCAAATCTGAGAGCTGAGCAGGTGAGACAGTTTGGTCAAAGAATGGCTCACAGGTGCCCGGGGCACATCGGGACCCTCTGTGGAGAAACAGTGCGGAGATTTCCAATGAAAGCTCAGGAAACGGACACCTGGCTGAATAGTGACTCAGCCACTACCTACCAATGTAACCCAAGACTGCCCTTCCCTGCCTTAGTTTCCTCAGATGTTAAATGGAAATGATGGTGGCGTCTTCCCCAAAGGGTTTGTGTAAAAAGCAAATGAATTAGCAGGTATGATATACCTAGAGAATCATCTGGCACACTCAATAGATTGCTCTCATCATCATCATTATTACTACTTCAGAGAAGGTGGGGGTGGGGGGGGGCTGAAAGAACCACCAGAGACTGGAACCAAGTGTACCCAAAATATGTCTTTAATCTTGATGAAGTTCACAAATGGCACAATATTGACATTGCCTTAAACAAAGTTTACAATCATTTTCTTAGACAACAAGGCACGGCATCACCTGTACCATTTGCCCCCAGGGGGCCACAAGAGGCAGTGATTTCACTTCCCGCGAAGGCTTGGCAGAGCCGCTAAAATCAACAGGTTGGCTCTCAAAGAACCAATTTTACCACTAGTTAAGCCGATGAGAGATGCCATCACATTTACTGGACAGAAAGTAAAATATTAGAATGATGCACAACGAATATGGAATTCACTTATTTTGCATTCTTTTTCATTCCTTTCAAATGACAAAGGTGGGTTTTTGTTGTTGTTGTTTTGTTTTTTCAGGGTCTATTAGGATGCAAACATGTGTATCTTCCACGGAGCCTTCTCACCAAGTTGTTGTCCACAAAATAAATAGAAGTGGTGAGTTCAGCATCACAGTAGCCTGGGAGAGAGAGAGAGAGAGAGAGAGAGAGAGAGAGAGA